CAACTCCCAGAATTCTCCAGCTGGAGAATTCTGGGAGTTGAAGTCCACAAGTCTTAAAGTTGCCAAGTTTGGGAACCACTACTGCAGGCATACACTGAACCTCTTCCCACAGCAGCAGCTTCAGTCTGGAAAACATTGACATTAGCATAAGACTGAGGGACTGTTTTTCTTAGGGTTGGTCCCCAGTTTAAGAATGGAGAGGGAGAGTACAGCTGCAATATAGTAACCACTGAAAACCCATCATTTGGCGTCTGGCACTTTGGACTGAGGATAATCTATTCTTGGACACATGTGTGACATTTTCTTTTGAATTGGAAATGCATCATCCTGAGATTTAATCAAGGAGAACAAATTGGAATGGTGACTTCCCCTGCAGCCTAAAATTATGTGAGCCTCATCTCCAGCCACCTCCATTGTCTGTATTAAGTATCATTCTGCTCATTTCTTCCAACCTACCAAGATGTTGTTGAATTTTATTTCTGGCACCAGTAGTTCTCCCGCTCAATTCTGTATCACCTGCAAATTTGGCAAATATTTCCTCCACCTCTTCAACCAAGCCATTAACACAAATATTGAAGATATGGAGGTCCTAGGACTGATTGTTATGGCCCTCTATTGAAATTCCTCTCCACAATTTTAATGAGCACACTTTGACTACATTTTTGAGCCATCTATAACTCGGTTTAATATCTTGGCATCCATGCTGTATTTAATTAGCTTGCTAAAATGCGATGAAGTTGGTCTGGTAAGATTTGTTTTTGTCAAATCCATGCAGATCTGGTTATTATTGTGATTCTGAGTGAACCTTCTCAGGAATCAGTGTAGGGTTAGGTTAGGATTTACTGCATCGTCCTTTCTTTTTGGAGAAAGATACTCTCCAATAATTTTTATTAGCTTCTAATTCAGTATATTTGCAAATCCAGAATATGGGGTCATTTAGTACCCAATAATTTGGGTTGTGTGAACACAACTGTGGTTTAATTTCATTCATCCTGCCTTCCAATATTTGGGCACTTCACTTTTAACACTTTTTCCCATCTTCTGATCAACTCTTTCCTTTTCCTTCGATCTCCTCATCTAGATCAATATGTAGATGTTGAAGAGCACTGGGCCCAAGTCTGGATCAGTCTGCGCTCTTTCTGTTTAGTGTAGAGAATGGACTCTCATACCACCATCACTTGTATGTACCTAAAGGAAAATTATGCAAGGAAAACTTGCAACTAACATGCAAGGCTCCTGAGCCACACGTGACTCTTGGTGACATGCATCAATGTCAATATACTTGACGATGCCAAACAAGACTGGCTGGACTCCCGCAACCCCTACCAGTGCTGACAGACCCCTTTCTATGGTTCTCTTTTCCACTCCCAAGGAATCACCACCATCCTCATTTCACCAAGATGGTCCACTTCATCCCTTTGCCAAAGAAAACAACACGGCTGCCGGATAAAAGCAGAACGCAAAAGCAGGAAAGGAGGGAAGGGAACTCCTCTTTTTATTCTGCCTCCCCTTTCTTATTCCTGAACATCTCTTTATTTCTGGTTGTCTGGAATCCTGCCTTGAAATTCTTCTTTCAGCCCATTCTTGGGTTTCACCATTCCTGCTTTCCTCTGAGAAACAGGAAAACCAGCCATGGCCAGAAAGTCACCCACACCATTTCTGCAAGGGTTCCACACACCACTTGCCTTGTGAAGGGAGGCTGTGAGGCTTCTACATCAACTCCATTTCCTCCCATCTCAAGGATGGAGAGGAAACACGCAAGGGTGATGCATGAACAAGCCTTTTATTTCACAGAAAGTCAGCGGCTGCTTTGCGCTTTCATTTTATACTTTATTCATGCCATTTGCCTTTTACCCACAGCAACTTTCAAAGGCCGTGGACAGCACAGCTGGGCCCACAGATATTGGCCTCCAATGCCATTGTAGGTTTGGTCAGCTTAGTTTTTTGTGTAATGCATTTTGAATGTCAAACAAATATCCACCAACAACTAGCCTTAGATGTGCTGGGCCATATGCAGCCATTCCTGCTGATGGTTATGGCAATACCAGTCAGCCTGGGCACATTTAGCCAGAGTGCCACAAGTACACCACGGCTCAGTCTTACTCCAAGTTTGCTCACACCATGAGAAATTGCAAGCTGCAATTTCTACAATATTTAGGCCCCCAGCCATTGAATGAAAAGTACATTTCTAGCCAATATCTTGTGGCCTGAGATTCACCCGCCAGGAGTTAGGCAGCACTCGACCTTCTAGGATACAAAAGAATGAACCCACCCAGAATGGGACATCTCTCCCCCCCCCCTGATTCTTTTTGGTTGGATTTCTGCCACTTCCGAAACATTGGTCTTCCCTAAGCGCAACTCCCCCATCCTTTCCTGGGCAAGGCAGACAAAATGCCCCCCCCCCTGCAACCTTACCTTCCAGTCAGTGTCCACTGCAGGCAGGAAAGTGTCTGAATTCTCCTGGAAGGAAAGACATAAAATCAATCGCGGCTCTTGCAGCACTCCTGCTTCCTATGGATCCCACCACTAGAAAAGCACTGGGTGGGGTGGGGTCCTGTAAAGAGACTCATCTAGTAACCTCTATAAAGTCATTTGGCAACTAGGGGCCCACCCAAATTATAAACACAGCTGTCCAATAGAATTTTGGCTGATCCTGGGGAAAAGCGAAGCAAGCCAGTTAATACGTGGATGTCTGACCACCTGGAAATGCCAGGATTATATGCTGAACTGGGAAATTGAGAGAGAGCGAGAGATCCCAGGGAAAAAGAGTCTTTCCTGTGGCTTCCAGGGCCAAGCAGGATATGGGCGTCCAGGCTGGGATGAGGTCTGTTTCCCTCCCGCCAGGGAACAGACCATCTGCACATATGGGGAGCACCAAAGCATGGGAAACAAGCAGCATTACAATCCTCCCCTGTTTCCACTGTCTCATGACTTGCACACTTCCCAGAGAGGGAGCGGAGGTCTCGATGCTGCTGGAAGAGACAAGGGGCTCTTGCTAGGATCCAAAGCGATGGCATAGGGCCTTTGGGATGCACCCAAGAACAGACTGCCCAGGCCTGCCTGAATCCCATCTGGCTGTCCAGTGCTCTCATCACTGGCCCCAGGAAGACTCTAACCAAGCCGAGGGACCTGCCTCCAGGCTCAGCAGAATCGGAACTCCCAGAGAGAAGTGAAGGACTCACCATCTCAGCATCTTGTCCACGGAGCAGAGGTTTCTCCTCTGTAAACCGCTGCTCATGTAGGCTAGCCATGGTCACTTCCTGGAGCAACAGTCCTGGGCAATGAAACAAACCTAGATTAGTCAGTGGTTTGTCCCAATCCTGGAATGCCAAGGGAAAATCTATCCTGCTTTGATGGCAGGCCCTCCTGGTCAAGAGTGCACCTGGTCATATCTACACCAGCAATCGGAGTGGGGGGAAATTTAAAGCCCCCTAGAAACCTGGCCAGGTCTGAGGAGGAAGGGCTGCAGTTTGCTCTTTTGAAGTCCTTCTCCCAATGGCGGCCCATGTGCACTTTGGCTTAACCAGGGTTAAAAGCTGGAGTTGCATGGGGCCATGGGGATGGGACAGATAGGCCCTGAAAAGACCTCTGGCATTGGCTGCTCCCTCCACCTTTGGGCACTCAGCTGAAAGAGAGCTGCCCCCTAGAAAAGATGCGAGTCCCTGGCCAAACAACAAACAGCAAAGGAGAAGAGAGGCTCCAGTTGCAGGTCTCCTCACTCTTCCTGGGGGAAGAAGGCAGCATCACTGTGAAACATAAAAGATGGCTTGGAAGACCCACACAGCCCTTTTGCTGCTTTGAGCCTGTGGAAATGATGATTTGCTGCCAGGAGTCAAGGACTGCTTGGGCCTTTTGGGCTGGCCGCCTGGGACTCAATTAAATGTGTCTGGGTGGTCTTAGCAATTATACATCTCCAATAGATAAATCACCATGATTACAATAAACCAAGATTGTTTCTTGATATATAGGAATTGATAGCCAGTGGAATCAGAAATGATTGATTTGCGAGGTTGGGAATGCTTTGGGAAATGCTTGCAAGGGTCTCCAGCCTTAGCAACTTTAAGACTTGTGGACTTCAACTCCTAGAATTTCTCAACCAGCATGGCCATTTCCAGGGTGAGGGTTCCTCTGCAGGAGACTTGTGGTAGAACACCCATTGTCCAGACCTTCAGCATGGCTGGCTGGGGAATTCTGAGAGTTGAAGTCCACAAGAGACCCCTGCCCTAAAGCCAGTCATCACAGAGCGCTGCAGTCTGCCAACATCTGGCAAGAGACCTCACATGGAATCGGTGTGAGTTTCTTCAAAACAGGCTTTGCCATGTCCTTCTCATAGCTGGGCTCCACCTATGGGCTTAGGAGAGCACGGGAATAACATGGCGCTTGTGGACTTCAGCACAGCTTTGAATACGGCTGCCTGCAACCAGTCAGCCAAAAAGGGCTGCATGGACCTTCTTCTTTGAGGGACTCTGTTGAAAGTGCTTATCGATTCTTATGTCAACTGGGGGGAAATGAAAAGGAGATCTGCAGTCAGGCAAGTCTTATGTGGCATTGCTATAAATGGCTTTATAAATAGTTCATTATACATGGTAGTGGTTTTAATCCTCTTTTCAACAAGTCTAATGAGGCAGGAAGAACCATAGAAAAACTAATGAACAAAAATGAATTTCTGCTTACAGAAAAAAAAACCAGAAATGCACACATGGGATGGCTGGACAATTAGACACATAACAGTGATTGAAAGATTTTGCAGATTACAGGCTGAACTTCCATGAGGAGTGCAGGGCAAGAGGGAAAAGGGTTGCAAAAGTTCCAGGTTGCCTCAATAGAAATATTAAGTTTGGATTGTAACATTTAAGGATGTCTTTAATTCTCTTTTAATTAAAAGGCTGTTTCTACCAGGCACACTGGTGGCTGGATTGAGTCACTGAAGCAGTCGGCGTGAGCTTCAATGGACTCCAGAGGATGGTAGAGGACAGGAAGGCCTGGAGAAATGTTGTCCATGGGTTCGCGATGGGTCGAACATGACTTCGCAGCTAACAACAACAACCACCAGGCACACAAAGCCTCTGGGCACGTTTGCTCTCTCCAGTAATGGATTGCATTCATGGAGAGGCCACCAAAAGAGTTTCAAGCGGGCAACACAAAGCAACTAGGCAAGTGGTGACATGGTGGTCTCTGCTGTACTGCCGGTGGGCTAGCACATTTGTATCTGAAGCAGATTTGTTTTGTGTCAGTGAAGAGGATAGGATTTGAACTCTATAAACGTTTCATTCATATGAAAAACAAATCCAGAGACTCTAAGAGACTAACTACACTCCAATTCATTACTACAGCAAAGTTTAAAAGGAAAGAAAACCTTTCACGTCCAATTCACAATCAGTCTGACACTGTCAGCCTCTGCTTTGCTGCTGCTTCGGCTGCCATGAAACGGGGAGGGAGGGCATGGTATTTGGGAGGGGTTA